GGAAGCGCTAATTGAGGCTTCTACGCGGTGATATCACTAGCACTATAGGGCAGTTAGACACTCTCTCTAAATATAATGGACTCTTGCTTATAGTGTGTGGGACATGCAACTTTTTGAGCTAATATTTACATGATTTTTTGAGGCTTTTTTTCTCATGATTTAGTGAAACAGAATATACATGTAGTTTCAATGATGTTCTTTTATTTTTTTGGTTCATTGTAGATTTATTATTATTCAAGCAGTCAAACTACTCATACCACGAAACCTGACGGGACTGAAATAATCAAATTTAAAAAGTAGGGGAAAGAAAAGCAGAGAGTACACCATCTTCTTTATAAAATGACAACTAAACACTTCCTTCTTCTCTCTTCATTAGCGGACAGTCAGAGACCCATTATCGAAACGGCTCCAAGGACATAATATTTCCTGATGGCACAATCAGACATGTGCTTCCCTCTGGAGAAGAGAAAATTAAATTCTCTGATGGAGTCACACAAAGAGTTCTAACTAATGGAGACAAGATCATTGACTTCCCTGATGGGCAGAGAGAAACACACACATCTCTGTACAAAGTAAGGATTCATTTTCTCATGTATGCATGTGCATGTATGTAGGCTCAAATACATATAATTATGTTGTACATGTATGTTGTATGCTTTTGCTAAAGGACCATTTAAAGTTGAAATCCTCTTTTTTCAATGATACAGAGAAGAGAGTATCCTGATGGGACTGTGAAGACAGTGTATCAAGATGGCCGTCAGGAGACCCAGTATGCTAATGGCAGGCTAAGGATTAAGGACCCAGATGGGAGAGTTGTTTTAGACAGATTACCCACAGTGCCTCCTCCTCTAAAAGCCACTCCTCATTCGTTCTCTCAACCTTCTTGAAGCTATGATGTCCTTATGATGTCTGTGACCAATGTTTTTAAATGCATCTATTATGAACAGTCTGGTGTTTCATTTAACCTTCTTCTTCTTCATTTACTTTCCATCTCTCTCTCTCCTCCTCCTCTCTTTTGTGTATTTTTATATAATATAATGATCATGATAATAATTTATCCTCAAAAATCTATATCTTTTGAGCTACCGGTACGTATACATGTGGCTTATGCTGGATCCAACATATTACATGCTTACATTGTTGACTTTTAAAACTCTGACATTTGAAAACAAAAATTACTGATACTGGACAGACAATATAATAATCACTCTTCTGTATCTCTTTCTCCTTCACTTCACTTGTAGTCTTCCCCAAGGAACTTGTGCTCATCAAACAATTGCTGCATATCCTCAGGCACTACGTGAGCTAGTTTATACTTGCTACGTAGCTCATTTGTTAATTCGTTAGTCTCAACACAAATGGTAGCGAGTCCTGCTATCACTCCTCCTTGTCCCTCCACTAGTTGTATACCACCCAACATTGTCCCTCCAGTCTCAATCCATTGATCTACCAATAGTATCCTTGTACTGGCAGGAAACGCTCCCTTCCTCATTTCCATGACTTTCCCAGACCCGGCGTAGCAGGAGTATGTTACAGAGTCGACCTCGACGCAAAGTTTTGAAGCTTTTCTGATGACTAGTAGACCTTTACCAAGCCTGTTAGCAATGGAACCAGCTAGTGGGAAACCCATTGCATCAATGCCAGCAACAAGATCGATATCAGCTGCGTTAAACTGTGAGACGAGATCAGTTGTTAGATCAGAGAAAGCGTGAGAGTCGATATAGATGCTAGTCGGGTCAAGCCATGCAAATTTATCTCCTTTGGTGTTAGGAGCAATTTTTGATAAGTACCAAGCTGTTTTTGGAGTTGTAATAGTAAGGGATGGAGAAAGAGAGTGGGAACGTGTAATAGCTATCAGCTGCCGTAGCTTTAGTGGATCAATGTTATGAAAGTCAATGGAGATACCAGTAGCAACAAGAACAGCATCTACATATGGAGCATAATCAAGAACATTCTCGGGCGTTACTCCGGAGGCAAGAGCAAGAGCCTTTCCTTTACAGCCAGCATTCATTCTTTTAATCTTTTCTATGCTTGCAGATACTCCAGTTGCCTGTCCAGATGTGGTTACGACGTCCATGTATCTAATTGCTATTGATGCTGCTCGCTCAACTAGCTCATCTTGTACATGGCGCTGGCATTTGAAAGCGGTTCCACCAAAATAAATCCCGTCCCATCCGCTTTTCTCTCTGACCGATTTGATCCTCTCTGCTTTCTCTTGTATCTGAGGCTTTCTCTCGTCCACCTCCCCATTGTCGGCCCAGTAGGCATCAACCTGGCAGCCATTGGAGGAGAGTTTCCCCAGCTCCTTAAAAGCA